AACAGCAAAGTTGAATGAATAATAAATACAATCCTGCACACTGTTCACAATTTATTTGAACTTACATTAAGGTTCCAAGTGGAGCTTTACAGATCATTCTCAGCCATTATTATGACCATAGCTGTATGCACTAGGGATGGGAACGATTCATCGAATATTCGAAATGATTCAGGTATTTGAATATGAGAATAATAATATGAATTATATTTTTTGGAGGGGTGGCTAAGTTGATTACATATGATCAAATGGAGTAATTCAATGTATGCGACAGTGCCCTACTACCGTAGTTTTCGGACTATAAGGCGCACCTGAATATAAGCCGCAGCAGCGGCATACCACTCTCGGTTCCACTTTTACTTTTGCGCGCTACCTGTCTCACTCTTTTCCGGCCTCCAGTTTTTCCTGCTGGAACCCGCCGCTTAAAGGTGGGGGTCAGCGGACCGGCCATAGAGCCCATAGAGTTAAAGGTGTTGGCCGTTAGCTGTAAAAATCCATAGATTAGCCGCACCGTTATATAAACCGCAGCGTCGAAAAATAGGGAAAAAGGCGCGGTTTATAGTCCGAAAATTACGGTTATTATTATTATTATTATTGTTATCATAATTGTGGGTGATGTAATTGTTGGTCCTGTGTAAAAAAAGAAGAAGAAGAAGAAATTCAAAGAGTTTTGATGTAATGCCAGAGCTGTAAACTGAATTTGAGTGTTTTGGACATAATAAGAGTTTATTAACTACAGTTGTGTTTACCTGTAGCCTTGTCTGTTTTAGGCTGACATAGTTCCTCTGCTTTTTTGTGATTATATCTGCTATGTCCTGACATGCCAAAATACACACACATTTTTGGTAAATGATAAATGCTGGTTAAGCAGGTTTGCAACAGGTATGGAATGAAACTGGTTTAAGCTTTTAAACAGGATTGCACCAGCAATGGGTCAGGGTTACACCCAACAGGCGGGACCCAGCATCCGTTACTGCACTAATATCTGTGTGAGACTTTACCTTGGAAAAATACATTACTTACTACTGAATTACCATTTTTATTAAGGTAAGTATAAAATATACTTTTACAGTAGCAGTACAGTAGAACATAATGCAATGTACAGTATATGCAGCTTGGATGACCTCAGGACTGAGTACAGCGGCCACACCAGAGCTTCCTGTAAGGATTAACCTGTCATCTGTAACTTTCACAGTGAGCTCGACACATCAGTGAAGCAATAAACAAACTGTTATGATACTAAAAAAGATGAATACAATAAATATAAATACATATACATAAATAAAAAAACGTATCAATATCTGCTCCATTATGTGAAAAAATGTTTTACAGATATATTGTTTTTTATTGACAAATGCCTAATATAGTACTGTATATACCATTTTATAGTGTGCATCAACACATTAAAAAAAAAAAACGATTTAGCTTTTCCAATAATTAGTATCCTTATTAATGATAATTTAAATGTTTCTTAGCAGTCAAGTAACTGTTGATTTATTATATTATAATTGAGTTTAATTTACTATCAATGTATTACTTGATGATTATTAGGTTTTTTGTTATAGTATATTGTACCTCTATAATTAAAAATAGCGTTATGGCAGAACAGTCGTATTGGACTGTTCTTTACAGGTATATTTAATAAAGTAGAAACAAGAGTGTGCATAATGTAAATAGTGTGAACAATCAAATATCCCAATTTTGGGTGTTTCCACACCATTCCTTAAAAATATACCTGATTTACTGTTTTTCAGATTTTGCTGATTTAAATAATAAGGTGATGCATGTCATTGTATTTTACACCTGTTTTTTTTCTCTATTAGATACTTGTATTTAACTGCTCTTCAGTGTAGCATAGCTGTCATATCACATGGTCTGCCCGATCCGATGAGATGGCACATTTTTAATTGGACCGCTCCTGGTGCCAAAAAAGTAGAGAGTGGGAGCAATGTGTGAAAATATGTTTCTATTCTCATCGTGATTTCAAGCAGTTAGTTTTGACGGTAACATCTACTATTTGTTGATATCCCTCTTTGCATATTTTGTCAATATGATTTCACTTCTTAACCTGTTAAGCCCGGGAGCCCCCGCCCCCGGGGCAACAAGCAACATCTTGCAAGGAACAGCGTCTGAGGGCTTCTTAAAATTGAACAAACTATGAATGTGTCATACCCACTTCACAGGAAGAAACTCAGCTACCTGACGATATCAAATTTTACTGAAACGAAACACAACTCTAACGCCGAGCCTCTGAATTGGCACTAAGCGAAAGAGTGCTAACGCACTTAGCACATAATTCACGGTAGAAATATGTTATGCTTCATCGGATCTGCTCGCTGAGATTCCACAGATTCCAATGGTATAAGTATTATCACTGTGCGACCAAAACTCGCGGCAGCAAAAGCCAGCAAAGGCAACACACAACTTCACTTTACGGAGCCAAAACGGCAAATGCATTTCGAATACTCGTTCGAAACGCTGTTCAATTTCAACCGAACAACAAACAAACCCTCTCCTTTTCCAGACAAATACCATTACTATGTTTCTACTGCAGATACACTCAGCTGCGGTTCTGTTGTGTAACTCTTCTCCCTGTTGTAGGTCGGTCTGCCAGCCAAGTCTGGAGTAGCGGGGGGGATCCTGCTGGTTGTTCCCAATGTGATGGGCATCATGTGCTGGTCTCCTCCTCTGGACAAGATGGGGAACTCAGTGAGAGGAATCCAGTTCTGCACGGTATGTGGGGGCGATACAGGACAGTAGATCACTGCATGGCGTGCAACAACACAGACTTCTATGTTTACATACCAGTGCATTACTGTATGACAAAGAGGCATTCTGGAGTAATTGTATTTCAAACATCTTCAGTCACCTGCCTTATTGCAGAATGCACACATATAGTCTTCAAATCTTTCTCTAGACTTACAATAATTATAGATTCAATGTCAATTCAATGTTGGATTTTGACAATATAACTTTTTAAGGAACTTTTATATTAGTGAATAGCATAGAAAGGTAACACAAAACTTAATTAAGAAATGGATTGAAAGAAATTCATAATTCATTTTGCTTTAGTCAGTGAACAGTGCATGTAATCAGATAACTGCGAGTGCTGTTTTAATCTGTTTCTTAACTGAAATTATTGGTATTTAGAAACAGAATTACATTTCATATTGTATTCATCCTTCCGATTTATCTATATGCCTTTTCATTCCAGGACCTGGTGGAGCTCTTTAACTTCCACAACTACGACAACCTGAAACACTTTGCCAAGAAGCACGACCCCCGCAGAGAAGGAGGGGACCAGCGGGTAAGGACACACAGCGGCATCACGTTGTGAGGAACACACCCACAAAGCTGCACCCGTTTCCCTCCTCAAACACACTGAGTTTGTCCTTCTCTCCAAGAACGCGTCTGATGCTTAGCTTGCTGGAGTTCACATTGAACAGCTCATTGCGTCTATTTTGTTGCGGTTTGCTTACATTTTGATTGCCATAGCTGTACAAAAATTACACCTTTATCGGAAAAAAAAACATGTCAATTTATATAGACAGCGAAACGGGATTTTCCTCTGTCTTAAACTGTGCTACCTCTCTTTTAATTCCCATGGAGATTGCTGCAGGTGTTTTAAGACCAACGAAGCATATTTCTGAGTTTGGTCACTGGATACCATTTAGTTTGCTTTGCATAGCGTTCAGCACGGAATATAAGCATCTTAGTTAACCAAGTGTGTATGACAACGCTGGCTATTTATACCTCTGTTAAAAAATACAGAGGCCCACATAGATAAAAAAACTGAAGCCAAAGTCTTCCTGCTTTAGACCCTGCCGTTCCTAAAGCTAAATAAGGAAACCTCTTAAACCTTAAATGGGGATTCAGTAGGTATTTCAAAAGATTTAACAGCAAACTAAATGCCATTTACACACTACAAACATTTTATTTATATATATAAAAATGTATACACACACAGAGAACAGAAAAACAGTAGGAGCCAGACTAATTTGTTATTCGTGTTGATTGCAACAGCAGTTCTTCTTCGGACCCATGGATTACGAGAGCCTCCAGCAGGAGCTAGCTCTGAAAGCCCCACTTTGGAAAAAGGTGGCCCCCACCGAGTCGCACCAGGACAGCTCCACCACTGTAGTCTATAGGATGGACAAAGTCGCCGAATGAGATAAAAACATAAAAAGGAGGCGTGCCTGTCCCCCACATAGACTGATCTCTCACCACAACACCACCACCACTGTTACCTTGGCCTCGAATATTTATACATAAATAATGTGGAGGATTATTTATAACTACGAATGGTTACTGTGTGGGAAGGTTCTTCTGTTTTTATGTGTGATGGGGGGGAATGCGATTCTGCTTTTGAAGTTAACTCTGAATTGCAAATGAACTCTAGTGGCCTTAGTGTTTAGGATCGGCTATACTGAACAGGTTAGAATCTATCACCCCGTTTATTAGATTTGATCAGAAATCCAAGCTAAGGGTTATCGGACTAGGGGTTCATTTGAAATTCACTTTTATTTTAACCAAAAGGAAAAAAAATGGTGCGTGTGGGGAGTTTCACTACAGCCGGCTTTGAGACCAACAGTCTTTTAATATTTACATTCTGACTTATTTTATGGTGTTTGCTACTGTAGCACACACTGAGGCCTCTGACTGCTGATAACAATAATACAGATGCAGGATGTGCCGTAGTACACTATGAAAACAGCTGCATAACGGAATGGGTTTCTGGATTTTATTTATGGGAATGTTTGGGTCAAAGGAGAATATTGTTAACATGAACGTTAGCTGTGAATACTTGGACTGGAGTGCAGCAGTGTTGTCTTTTTTTATTTTTTATTGAGCTGTGAAGTCTGAAAAAGCTAAAAAAAATCTGTATACCTAAAATCCCTTCAATGTAAACATGCTGGACCCTGAAAAGACAAACCACCCCAAAAACTGAAAGCTAACCTGAGTCGATGTCAGATTAGTGCAAAGTATCTCAGCTTTCTGGTCAGTTTTAGCGAGCTGATTGGTTAGCTTCTGATGCCAGCTAGTAGCTTAATGTTAGCATGGACATTTCTCTGCATAATATGCATGCACCTGCACCATCTTTCTGTAGGTGGTTCAGCTCAGACAGACAAGTTGCCTACAGATTTCTGGAGTAGAATTTATACAGACATTTGTGAAATTAGACTTATCTGGTCACAAAAATTACATTAGATTTTCTTTTTATTACTTAAAATATAGCATTATGTGTGCCTCCCTTCAAACCCTTAAAAAAAGACACACAATCATTTGAGAGCTGAGAAACGGTAGATATTGCATATTGAAAAGATAAACCACAGGTATGAAGGACCTGATTTGTGACTGTAAACAGTTGGGTGATATAATAATGTTGGTATGGTAAATAGTTTTGTCAGGAGAGGGCTGACGTGACTTATACAACGAGCTGTTGTTCTTGCAGACACTCACTTATCACTTATGATTGTCCTTGTCCCCTTTGAGTGCTGCGTCATTCTGCTGCTGGTGTGTTTAGAAGGTGTGTGTGTGTGTGTAGCCGGTTAGTAAGGGAAGTTACTCAGTACCACGTTGGCAGAGGGGGAGTTTGTTCGTCGCTGCGACCTCCAGTTAAAGCCGCTTGTAGCCTGAACGATCAGCCTTTCACCTGAGCTGCATTCCAAACCGTAACTGTGTGTTTGCACTGTGTCCACTAAAATATGTTGAAACAAGTTGCCTTAGTCTAGAAATAATGCTACTTTCCACAGAAACATAATGAAACAGAAATTGAGGTTTCATTTGATGAATGTTTTTTCTTTAAAGGCCCCCTATTAAACAATTTTTAAACAATATATTATCGGTCTCAGATATATATATATATATATATATA